CAATTACTAAATGTTACGGCCCGAAATACTACACAATAAAATTTCAAGCTTTCAGCAAATGACTAAATACGCTTCCGTCAAACGCTGTAACATGTAATAGTTTAACCGGTTACTTTGTTGGACGAGAATTATTTAGGCAATCCCGGAAATGAGTAAAATTTCATTCAAATAAAGGAATATTCACTTGATTACAGCGTCTGCCGGCAGTACGGCCAAAGACTAGGCTTTCCGCGGAATGACGCATTACGCCCAATGACTACGACATACAGGGTGAATATAAAATATGGAACCAAGCCGTTTTATTTTTAATCATTTGCCTCCAGAAAATAATAATTAATATAAATTAAAATAATATAAAAAATGTGATCGCATTTTCAGAACGAAATTTTGTTTTGTTTTAGAGATGCGATTTTTTTTGTCAAAATTGCAATTTATGTGAAAAATTTTTTTTTTAAAAATTAAATATAAAGCAGATAGTTGTATTCCCTAGAGTATAGCTTTTATGAGAAAAATGATTTTATAGTGGGTTGCCATTTAAAAAAATATTTTTTTTTGTAGAACTCAAAAACAAAAGGAAATTTCGAAAAATTTTATTCTTGTTAAATCATCATATTTTTTTAAGTACTTTATCACTCATCAATTAGTTTTTTCAAAAAATAAATAGTTTAAGCAAAAAACGTTTGGTTCCATACTTTTTATTCACCTGGTATACAAAGAGGCTTGTCCTGACTGACCTATCAACCCACAGCCTAAACCGCTGGAGACAGAAATTTCAAATTTTCACAGTAGATATCTTCTATAACGTAGGCATCCAATAAGAAAGAATTTTTGGAAAATCAACCCCTAAGGGGGTTAAATGGGGTGGTGAATTCGAAGTTTTAAAGCTATAGCCATGAAAATTGATATTTAGGCTTTCGGTTAAAAATAAAAAATACGTATTTTACCATTTTTGTAAATTTCACCCCCAAGGGGGTTGAACAAGGGTAAAAGGTCGTAAAATATTTGTATTTTTTTTAAAGTTAAATTCATGAAAATTGGTATTTGGGCTCTCAGTTAAAAACAAAAAAACACGTGTTTTAGGATTTTGGAAAATTTCATCCCCAAAGGGGTCAAACAAGGGATGAAAATTTGTATAAATATTTATAAATTTGTCATTTTTGAAGTTATATTTATGGAAATTGGGATTTGGACTATCGATTAAAAATGAAGAAACACGTGTTTTAGGATTTTTGAAAATTCCACCCTCTAGGGGGTTAAATAGGGATGACAATTTGTATTAAAATATGTAATTTATAAAGTTAAATCCTTGAAAATTTGTATTTAGGCTTTCGATTAAAAATCAAGTAATACGTTTCAGGATTTTTAGAAATCTCACCATCAAGGGGGTTGAACAAGGGTAAAACTTCGTAAAATATCCGTTTTTTTAAAGTTAAATCTATGAAAATTGGTATTTGGGTGTTCAGTTAAAAACA